GGTATACAGTAAAGATTCAAAATTCTAGTAAAACTTTACATGTAATGTGCTATTAATGACCGAATTTTTCAGTATGTATAACTAAAAATTAATGTTATTGCGTTACGAACGCAGTAAGGGCTATTTTTGCATATTTTGACCTCTTTATAGTAATTTACATAGGTTGTAAGTGGCATTGATAATGTCTAAATTGCATTATTTTGGTAACTTTACAATATTAAAGCGTTAAATACATTTTCAAATTTTCATGAAAATTAGCATGAATCTGGAGGTGTGCTGCTTTAAAACATTTAAATAATAGTTTCAGAGCTTGTTAAATGCTTCTAACGAAGATTGTAGCGCTTAATGTGAAATTATTCGTCATAAAAGTAGCAAAATGTAAACAAAGTAGTATTTTGACTTCCATACAAAATACTAAATCCCTTTAACTGTAGTAATCGCAAAAAATGCACAAGAAGAAAAATATGTACCTATATAACAGTAAAAACGTTTTTCTTGTGTTTGTTGTCGTTGTTTTTTTTTTCAGTGACGCTCCCAAAGTATAACCTCAAAAGGCCCAGTATGCCCCAGAATTCTTTTATTTTTATGTCTCAAAGGCATTTTTTTACTTTTAAGTACTACTTTTTTATAATTTCTTTCATCAGTTACTTATTGGCAAATAATAAAATCCCACACAAATATATCTGAACGCCGACTTCAGTTAATGAATCATGAACATGCCAGCCCTCCCACTTCACACTTCTTAGAAATGTATCATGAGGTTTTCATATTGTCACACTTCTAAGAAATATATATCATCAGGTTTTCATGTTGATACAATTAAGTATTAAAGTTTAGCCCGCTGGCCCGCAAGCCCGCCCAGTTCACACTGCTAGTCCGCTACACTGTTAGCCCGCCCACTTCACACTGCCAGGTAATGTATCATAACGTTTTTTATGTTCAATCAATAAAGTTTTAGATTTTAGCCCGCTGGCCCGCCAGCCCGCCCCAGTTCACACTGCTAGCCCGCTACACTGTTAGCCCGCCCACTTCACACTGCCAGGTAATGTATCGTAACGTTTTTATGTTCAATCAATAAAGTTTTAGATTTTAGCCCGCTGGCCCGCCAGTCCGCCCAGTTCACACTGCTAGCCCGCTACACTGTCAGCCCGTCCTATTCACACTGTTAGGAAATGTATCATGAGGTTTTAATGTTGAATCAATAAAGTTTTAGATTTTAGCCCGCTGGCCCGCCAGCCCGCCCAGTTCACACTGCTAGCCCGCTACACTGTTAGCCCGCCCACTTCACACTGCCAGGTAATGTATCTTAACGTTTTTATGTTCAATCAATAAAGTTTTAGATTTTAGCCCGTTGGCCCGCCAGCCCGCCCAGTTCACACTGCTAGCCCGCTACACTGTCAGCCCGTCCAATTCACACTGCTAAGAAATGTATCATGAGGTTTTAATGTTCAATCAATAAAGTTTTAGATTTTAACCCGCTGGCCCGCCAGCCCGCCCAGTTCACACTGCTAGCCCGCTACACTGTTAGCCCGCCAAGTTCACACTGCCAGGTAATGTATCATAACATTTTTATGTTCAATCAATAAAAGTTTTAGATTTTAGCCCGCTGGCCCGCCAGCCCGCCCGGTTCACACTGCTCGCCCGCTACACTGCTAGCCCGCCCACTCCACACTGCCAGGTAATGTATCATAACGTTTTTATGTTCAATCAATAAAAGTTTTGGTTTTAGCCCGCTGGCCCGCCAGCCCGCCCAGTTCACACTGCTAGCCCGCTACACTGTTAGCCCGCCCACTTTACACTGCCAGGTAATGTATCTTAACGTTTTTATGTTCAATCAATAAAGTTTTAGATTTTAGCCCGTTGGCCCGCCAGCCCGCCCAGTTCACACTGCTAGCCCGCTACACTGTCAGTCCGTCTAATTCACACTGCTAAGAAATGTATCATGAGGTTTTAATGTTGAATCAATAAAGTTTTAGATTTTACAGCCCGCCCAGTTCACACTGCTAGCCCGCTACACTGTCAGCCCGTCCTATTCACACTGTTAGGAAATGTATCATGCGGTTTTAATGTTGAATCAATAAAGTTTTAGATTTTAGCCCGCTGGCCCGCCAGCCCGCCCAGTTCACACTGCTAGCCCGCTACACTGCTAGCCCGCCCACTTCACACTGCCAGGTAATGTATCATAACGTTTTTATGTTCAATCAATAAAGTTTTAGATTTTAGCCCGCTGGCCCGCCAGCCCGCCCAGTTCACACTGCTAGCCCGCTACACTGTCAGCCCGTCTAATTCACACTGCTAAGAAATGTATCATGAGGTTTTAATGCTCAATCAATAAAGTTTTAGATTTTAGCCCGCTGGCCCGCCAGCCCGCCCAGTTCACACTGCTAGCCCGCTACACTGTTAGCCCGCCCAGTTCAAACTGCCAGGTAATGTATCATAACATTTTTATGTTCAATCAATAAAGTTTTAGATTTTAGCCCGCTGGCCCGCCAGCCCGCCCAGTTCACACTGCTAGCCCGCTACACTGTCAGCCCGTCCAATTCACACTGCTAGGAAATGTATCATAACGTTTTTATGTTGAATCAATAAAGTTTTAGATTTTAGCCCGCTGGCCCGCCAGCCCGCCCAGTTCACACTGCTAGCCCGCTACACTGTTAGCCCGCCCACTTCACACTGCCAGGTAATGTATCTTAACGTTTTTATGTTCAATCAATAAAGTTTTAGATTTAGCCCGTTGGCCCGCCAGCCCGCCCAGTTCACACTGCTAGCCCGCTACACTGTCAGCCCGTCTAATTCTACACTGCTAAGAAATGTATCATGAGGTTTTAATGTTCAATCAATAAAGTTTTAGATTTTAGCCCGCTGGCCCGCCAGCCCGCCCAGTTCACACTGCTAGCCCGCTACACTGTTAGCCCGCCCAGTTCACACTGCCAGGTAATGTATCATAACTATTTTATGTTCAATCAATAAAGTTTTAGATTTTAGCCCGCTGGCCCGCCAGCCCGCCCAGTTCACACTGTTATCCCGCTAGACTGCTAGCCCGCTCAGTTCACACTGTTATTCCCGCTAGACTGCTAACCCGCCCAGTTCACACTGTTAGCCCGCTAGACTGCTAGCCCGCCCAGTTCACACTGTTAGCCCGCTAGACTGCTAGCCCGCCCAGTTCACACTGTTAGCCCGCTAGACTGCTAGCCCGCCCAGTTCACACTGTTAGCCCGCTAGACTGCTAGCCCGCCCAGTTCACACTGTTAGCCCGCCAGACTGTCAGCCCGTTAGCCCGCGTACTTCACGAACATCTAAAAAATGTCATTTTTATTGGTTCTTTTGAAATAATTTTATGACAAACAGTTCTGGAAAAGGTTCAATTTTAAGATGGAAGAAAAATCTCATTCATTTATGATATTTATATTTAAATATTTTCCGATAAACGTTAAGTACCTTGATATCATAGAACCCCGGGCTATACCGTTATTTTAAATTACCAAACAAAAGTCATTTTCTTAATATGAAAGTTTATTACCCTTCCAGATTTTTTCCGCCTTTTTGATTGGATATTGATCACCCCAAAGAAATTGATATTACCGAGCCAGACGGGTAATATACACATTAAATTTCCCCGATGGGTACCCCACGTTGTAAACAACATTCGCCGTGCGATGCGCGTACGGTTTGATTTTACGCGATATAAATTCCGATTTACAAGCACTTTTAAACTGTCAAATGATAAATATTTACCTAAATAGAGTAATGATACATATTCTCGTCAGTATAGGAAACAAATATGACGCTGTGAAAGCTTGATAATAATTCCAAAAAAGTGCGTTCAACAGACTATTCCTTTTCTCTTGTTTACATCCGTTATCTTCGAAAGATAATACGTCATGTATTAATTTATGTGACGTCATGTTATGGTGAAGGGGTATCCTTAAAGGGATTTAGCTCAATACAGGATTGGAGCAGTACCTCTAGACGCTTGCAGAAATCATGATCACAAAATAGACAAATATCGTTTTTTTTCGCCGAATTTTACATTTTTCCTTGATTATCGTACTTGATTCGGTGTGAAAAGATGAATTAGACCTGTTTAAGTTCATTCCGTTGGGTAAAAAGACAAGATTTTAGCATTTTATCATTCAAGCGCCTTGTCCGGTATATACCGGAATACGGTATTTAGTGTGGTGCTCCAATCCTTTTTTTTAGTCACAGCCATCCTAAAGGGAATCTTATTTCGACGTTTCATTTGAAGTAGCAATGATTTATTTTAAAATCGTTTTAACTCGGCACGGGAAGGGTAATAAAATCATTATTTTGGTTTTGGAGTGATATATGTGGATATATTACCTGTCAAGAAAAAATATCACCCTCGCCTAACGGCTCGGGTGATATAAAATCTTGACAGGTAATATATCCACATATATCACTCCAAAACCAAAATAACATATAATCTCTTTGACGCTTATCTTCCTGTGTTAAATTGTAAATAATGATATAAATTACTATTTTCATGTATATATCTTATTTAATTTTGCACTGCGATATTTCACTTTATACATTTATGTCAATACCACAATAAAAGTAAGAGCTTTAGTTGTTGTTTTGTGCTATCCTAAGTATGATAAATTTATGTGGTATCATTCTCATACATGTTTTATTGTGTGTGTTTTTATCATGTATTACATGAAAAATGCACAATACTGAAATCTACCTACCCACGTACTTACCTATCTTTCCTTTTTTACTTTGAAGCACTAAACGCTGACCGCTGAGGTATTCGAAATTACATTTTGTCATATTTGAATACGTCATGCAAATACATTATGTATTGATTAAACAATCATTTAACTACCAATATTTGATTTGGTACGTTTAACGTGATTTTCACTTTACACTAAAGTATTAACACAACTATGAATGTAACTAAATATATCAGGCTGGTAGTGAAAGATCAATGAAACGTACCGGTAGACTTTAACAAGACTGGTATTCTTTTCATTATTTTCTAAACTTCTGTATATAATATTGATAGTGGAAATAGCATAGTATAATTACATATCTGGTTGTCGAGTCCTTTTGTGAATATGTCACGGAAATTACAATATTTTGGGTGCGTTTATTCTACATATTTTTAATTTAATTTTATAATTATCTTAAAACAGTCATAAAGTAAGATGGATATCTTGACATTGTATACATATTGTTTTGGTTTCTTATTCGGAATAAAACTTTAAATTAAAATATTCGTTAAATATTTTGTACGTGAATGACTTGACTTCATAGTTTTATTAGTTTGTACGGTTTTTAAAGATGATTTAATTTATGCTAATTAAAAAAGTGCAAATTTATGAAAATTCCGACTGAAAGTAAATCAAAGAAAGAAACATTTACTTTTCTTAATATAGAAATATTATACTCAAATCAAAAACAATAAACTCGTATTAAACATAGCGTAGATAAGAATGTACATTACAAAACTCTAAGAATTAAGTTATCTTTTATAACAGGAGGGTGATAATACTTAAAAGCAGCGTTCGTGCTAATTGTTATCATTTGCAGATATGTAATTTTTCAAAAACCTTATTTTCTAAATGTAGGTAAGAAGCAACAATAGTAAATAACCCGTTAATAACTCAGTGGAAATTTAATGATGGAAATGGTGTACTAAGTTATATTTTATATCTTTATATTTTTATTGAAAAGTGTTACACTAATAGTAAATATTCATTTTCAAGTTAAGTTTTTGTACAAAGACACTATTTTAAAGACGTCCATCTTTGAGATATGTTAAGGTTTTGAAAGTTTCTACCTTAACTGTGCAGCAATTTGGTTGAAATAATAAATTGATTATCAACATATTTGTTTCCTTTTTTCAGATTTTCGCTTATGACTTGTGCGGCTTTTGTTTACATGTGTGCTATATTCGTTGATAAACGTGTCTTTCCAGAGAGAACTTATAATCTCACTGTTACTGCTGTACCTGGAAGAATCACAGTTTCTGAAAGTAATTATAAAAGTGAGAGTCACACAACTGCGAGACAGACTTACAGGCCTGGGACTTCTATTCTCAATAAAGATGAAAATGAATACAGCAATCATGGTGAAAATGACAGTTTTGCCACTGATACAAAAGAAGAAACGCTTTGCAATTCAACTATACTAAAACCAAATTTAGATATGTTTAATCGCTCTAAAAGTGTTGAAAAAAGACATATAGCATTTTTAAAAGTACACAAAGCGGCTTCAACCACGCTTCAAACTATGTTTTACAGGTTCGGGTTTGAGCGGAACTTGAGCTTCGTCCTGCCTATCAAAAGTAATTACATCTCGAAATCCGTAAACGTACACGAGGATTTAGTAAGTCCACTACACGGTGACCATTACGACATTATATGCAATCATGGAATATTTAGCCACTTTATTTATTCGAGTTTAATGCCGAATGACACTATATACCTAGCAGTAGTTAGAAACCCTATGGATCAGTTTATCTCAGCAGTAAAGTATTACACGGAGGTATACAAATTTCAATACTTGGTTAATATTCCGGGTAACCGTATAAATAATCTGATCAATTTTCCAAACAAATATGACGAACTTCTTTCTTATACAAGAAACTCAATGTCACGTGACTTCGGTTTCCAAAAGCATCATGTATTTAACATGCAGGAAGCCGAATGTTACCTTATGGAGCTTGACAAAGTTTTCGACTTTGTACTAATAGCAGAACACTTTGACGAGTCTTTAATATTAATGAGAAGGCGTTTGAACTGGTCACTAAAAGATATATTGTATATATCCAAAAATGTTCGAGGTCAAGACGAAGTGATAAGCAAACCTTTAAAGGCCAAATTATACGAGCGAAATAAACTAGACTATATGGTGTATGACTTCTTTTATAGAAAATTTCAAATCATTTTAAAGGAGTTCAAGGAAGACGTGATGGCAGAAATGGTATACTTTAAACAAGTTCTGTCAACTGTACAGAGCTGGTGTGTTGATGATATGGTGGGAAATTTGGTGATAAAATCTTCCGTTTGGAATGATGAGTTTATCATTAATATGCGAGATTGTAAACTAATGATGAAGGGAGAACTCAAATTTATAAAACTTTTAAAGAATGGTATAACGGAGCTGTGATGGACATGTTCATATGACAGATTATAATAAATATAAAAGTATTTTACAGTTTGTATGTTTATAGTACTGTATGTTTTTGTAAGATCGTCTTTTGATGGATTCTCGTGAGGTTTATGTAATATTCAGGACTATTAAATGTTGTTTTCCTTACAGAAATCATTTGTGCATTATTAAATGATTTATCATTTTATGTTAACAAGACGTTAGTATCTTAACAACACATAGTATCTAAACAACCCATTAGTATCTTAACAACGCATTAGTATCTAAACAACCCATTAGTATCTTAACAACGCATTATATCTAAGCAACGCATTAGTATCTAAACAACGCATTAGTATCTAAACAACGCATTAGTATCTAAACAACGCATTAGTATCTAAACAACGCATTAGTATCTAAACAACACATTAGTATCTAAACAACACATTAGTATCTAAACAACGCATTAGTATCTAAACAATACATTAGTATCTAAACAACGCATTAATATCTAAACAACGCATTAGTATCTAAACAACGCATTAGTATCTAAACAACGCATTAGTATCTAAACAACGCATTAGTATCTAAACAACGCATTACTAACAACACTGTATATACAGTGGACCATTAAACTAGTCAAAATATTTAAAACTAACAATATAAATGTCAATAAACAGCAATGACCAACCTTTTTCTATTAAAGATAACATCAAATTGATTTTACTGTAACTAAAGTTACTTTCATAGAAGTAGTTTCCTGCTCATAATGTCTCTATCTAACCTTGAACAAGTTATGATTATTGAAATAACTGATGATTGTAATCTTATTATTATATTGTATTTTGATCTCGTGTTTATTTTTATACGTTTGACCTTATTACTAAATAAATTCTTATTCATTAATTTCTATCAATAAATAATTTAAAAACATATATGAGCCGCGTCACGACAAAACCAACATAATGGGTTTGCGACCAGCATGGATCCAGACCAGCAGTCTGATCAGTATCCATGCTGTTCGCTATCAGTTTTTCTACTTGTAATAGAATTGGTAAGCGAACAGCATGGATCCTGATCAGACTGCGCGGATGTGCAGGCTGGTCTGGATCCATGCTGGTCGCAAACACACTATGTTGATTTTGTCGTGGCGCGGCTCATATGTCATATGAGGGTTATGAAGTTAGTTGAAACAGTTGGGGTGTAATACGTGTAAGACTGACTTGGTCTTCGACATATCTATTAATTTGAGCTAACACAATCCGCATTTAAACGATAGCAGTCTGGTTTAAAACAATAAGCCATCGACCTGACACAAAATAGATCTAATAGGTCTATAACAATGTTACATCTTAGTACAATACAATGACGAGTATGATTGAATTAATTGTAAATGTTGGTATAAAATAATGGTGATATTAGTCTAATTACATGTGTATTATTATTATCATTATGCTCTTGTAGAGATATCCTTAGAGACATAATGTTTCATAATGCATTGTTTTAAAAATGAAAATACAAGACCTTTATTCCAGAAAATGAGAGTTCAGTGAAGCAATAATTTGAATGTCAAAGAAATCCGTGCATAAAATAGGGCGAAGTGTGAATCTTATGTAAATAGCACGAAGTTTGGCATAGCTGTTGTTTGATAAGATACTCTTCATTCAAGCCTGGGATCAAGATTATGCATATCCAATATGGCAACCAAAATAAAAGATGGTCGCCATATTGAAATTTTCAGAATTAAAGTTGTTGTCATTATTATAACAACATAAAATAGCATCAATATATTATATAAGTACTAATATAACACATTTGTAATGAAAATAAATCTATCAAAAATATATACATGGATCCAAAAGACAGCTAAAACTTAATTTTGACATAATTCGCTTCATTTTTCGTAAATAGACATATGAGCCGTGTCACGACAAAACCAACATAATGAGTTTGCGACCAGCATGAATCCAGACCAACCTGCGCATCCGCGCAGTCTGATCAGGATCCATGCTGTTCGCTATCAGTTTCTCTACTTGTAATAGGGTTTGTAAGCGAACAGCATGGATCCTGATCAGACTGCGCGGATGCGCAGGCTGGTCTGGATCCATGCTGGTCGCAAACCCATTATGTTGGTTTTGTCATGACACGGCTCATATATGCTCAAAATGAAAAAAGTTTTATTAGATTTAATTAAACTTTACATGAGTTTAGAACAGGATACGATCTAGTATTTAATGGTGATTTATACATAATTCATTTAAGTTTGATTGTGTAGGAAGCTATGCATGAACTTATAGAAACACTCTCGAATCCGTTCCCTGAACCAACTAGTAGTTTCCCTGAACCAACTTGTAGTTATCAATAAGTACCAAACTTCTTGCTCAAGGAAACAACGGATTCCCCCTAACAGTGTTAAGATGCACGAGACCAGCAATCCTTGTATCACTAGTCCAACGTGTTAACCAGTACCACTCTGTCATGAACATGCATGCAGATTATTGAAACTATTGAAACGAAAATAAAAATGTATTTCAGTAAAACTTGGCAATTTATTTTAGAAGACATTGCAAAAATAATGATATAATTAAAGTCTGGTTCTATTGATAACGACACAAAAAATGCTTCTTAAACTACAAAACTTTTCCTAATTCTACTTCAATTTATTTATTTTTTTAATGAAATTGAAAATCGCAGAAGAAATATATGCAGTCGGTTTCCCTTGAGGTCTATGTATATGTTGTTGTTGTTGCTTTTGTAACGTTTAAGTAAATGTAATGCACTATATACTGTAAAGCAGAGGTAAAAAGACAATAATTGTTTGTAATTGTTCTAATCTGGGACTTGCAGTATCAACGTACAGTCATTAAAGGGACTCCACTGAGGTTTTATGACATGACGGGACTGGAAATAATTTTTTAAGATTATTTCTCCATTTGATGAAGATCTATACTAATAACTCATGTGCAAAATTTCAGATCATTAGCTCGCTCCGTTTTTCAAGAATAATTATTATAATAGTGAAAAATGACCCAAAATTGAAAAGCGTTTAAACGCTTTTAACTCAAATCGGACTGAGAATAGCACAAACATACGATTTTCAATGTATTTCTTGTATATTTTTTGTTATATTTTAAGTATATGTTAGTGTTCATCCGTGTTGTTCTACAGAAATTAGAAACTTCGACGGGAGCGATAGCGACAGGAGAATGTTTCTAATTTCTGTAGAACAGCTACGGATGAATACTAACATATTTAGTGTCAAACTTAATTGGCCTGATAATCACTCACTTTATCACGTCACTATGCCGTTCTATGAAGTACTATGAAAAATAGAAGTCGACTACGAACGTAATTCGATATAGTATCGACTTTTGTTCTTCTATGAAAATTAACGCACATGTAGATTTTTTAAAAAATACAGCGTTTTCATTGGATGACAAATAAAGTTGGACACTAATTATATTTCTGTTTTAAGTGCTCGTGTTGATCTATGTGAAAAATTGAAATTTAATGTTTTTAGCCTTATAAACCTCAGTGGAGTTCCTTTAAGTGTTAGTGTCCAGCTTTATTTGTCATCAAATGAAAACGCTGTATTTCCTAAAAATTGTGTGTGTTAATTTTCATAGAAGAACAAAAGTCGAGACTATATCGAATTCCGTTTATAGTCGCCTTCTATTTTTATAGTACCTCATAGAACCGCGTAGTAATTAAGTGAATAATAATGAAGCAAATAAAACTTGACACTCTCGAGTACTTTTTACAGCAAGTACTTTTTTATTTACGTTGATACATTCCCCAATAGCAACACTGGTGACGTATAATTACAGTATTATATATTTCAAGCAAATGGTCGGCTCTTGGCAAAACCTCGGGAGCATCAATATATAAGTTATTAGCTACAAAGTTGTAACTCTTAACTTGCCATTTAAAAAGGAAATCTTTGGTAACTTAGTAGGAACATGTGTAGTGTACAGTGTAGTAACACTACAGGTATAACTTTTTGTGTAACTTGAATGTAATGTAAAGAATTCTAAAAACATACTGTAATGCCATTATTAATTCATATACATGTATATATATATATATATATATATATATATATATATATATATAATATATATAATATTATATATATATATATATATATATATATATTATATATATATATATATATATATATAAGCAAAAACGCTATTTTAAATTTGCCGTAGCTTTCGGCCTTGCGGCCTTCTTCAGCAGCATGCTGCTGAAGAAGGCCGCAAGGCCGAAAGCTACGGCAAATTTAAATAGCGTTTTTGCTTATATACGGCAAGTTAGAGATTTTACTTATATATATATATATATATATATATATATGTCTAGTTAGCGAAACTCTGTCATTTATTTTGTTTGTTTTTACTTCTTTAGTTCAATTGTTGTTACTATAATACAATTCAAGTTTTAGTTTCTTTAATGTCTTTTTTATCTTTGTTCTCATTATTATTGTAATTTACATTTCATTTAACATGACCGTTGATTGGAAATAAAAGTTATTCTATTCTATTCTATCCCATAACGTCGCCAAATTTCATTCGTTATAGAAAAACTAAGGCCGTCAAAGGGTGAAAGCGGATAGTGATCACCTGTGGTGCCAAGATATAGTGGATGAAAATTAAAAACTGTTAAAAAGGGTAACTGTAAATTGTAATTGTTTTGGTCTTTAATTAAGAATAACATACATTTAATTGAACTGTTTTAAAGCGTGTCTTTTATTTTACTAGCCATAGAGCTATGATATTTATGCTGGCAAATCGAAAGTAGATTTTGTTGAATACTGAGTAGAGAAACCTTCATTATCTGAACTGCAGTTAAAGTGCAAAGTAAGTGTGACCTATGTATTAAAAGTAATTGCTAATTACTGTACAAAAACGTGTTATTTAGTGCAGACTGGTATAAGGCAGGCATCTGTTAAATTTGTATTTTATCTCCTGGATTAGAAATATGTGACCACAATGTATATATTTCAGAAGTAAAACTTGTATACTGTATAATACACTAAAGAAAACGGAATGAACATCATATATACTCCTGGTTTAGACCTCGGGGTCTATTCCAGAATATAACCCATTTTTACGGATAAAATTACGAATATCAACACTTAAAACTACTGCATAATATTGAAATGTGCGTTTGGAAAAATTGAGATCTAGCATACAGACTTTAGAGTTTTTTTTATAATAAAAAGTTAAAATTACTTCAGTCACAATATAGTCTTAATTTGAAACATTTAGGTTTGGAATAAAAAAAATGAAAACAATGCTGGGTGGATTTCAACATGCATTGATTTTTAGCTCACCTGTCACAAAGTGACATGGTAAGCTTTTGTGATCACTTTTCGTCCGACGTCCGTCCGTAAACTTTTACTTTAACGACATCTCCTCATAAACTGCTAAGCCAATATCATCCAAACTTCACAGGAATGGTCCTTTGGTGGTCACCTTTAAAAATTGTTCAAAGAATTTAATTCCATGCAGAACTCTGGTTGCCAGTGAAAAAAAAACCGAAAGAAAAAACTTAAAGTATCTTCTTTTAAAAACCCCAAAGAGGTAGAGCTTAGATGAAACATCTAACATCTAACATGAAACATCTTCTAGTGAGTGTCTATCAAGTTTGTTCAAATAAAAGCTCTTGGGTCAAAATTGGCCCCACCCAAGAGAGGTCCTTTGCTTTTCCTTATATATACATATAAGGAAAAGCTATGACCCCCTGGGGTGGGGCCAATTTTGACCCAAGAGCTTTTATTTGAAAATATAGTAAAACCTTAAAAATCTTCTTTTAAAAAACTGAAAGAGCTAGAGCTTAAATATTTGGCATGAAACATTGTCTGAT